CTGGGTTTGAGTTGATGGCAAGAGCCAGCCATGAACAACTCTGGTTTGTTTGATTTTTAACTGAATAAAATTGACGCTCGTAGAAGCTTTTATAGTCACCAGCTTGTCAATATGGTAATAGAATAGTTGGAAATTGCTGGTTTAGCTGACAAATAGATCTGTCTCTTGTCGGCATAGAAATGAAAACCAGTATCATGCCAATGAATAATCCTGTGCACAGGCAGCCTTGGAATGCTGAGTAAGAGCAGGGCCAGAATGGAACCCTACAGAGCAGAAGAAATAAATGCACTAGAAGGACACAAATTACCCTTGAAAACATAATGCAGGTAACTGTTGGATAAATATGATTTAAGCCAATTTAGAACTGTGCCAAACAGGAAGATAAAGTCCCTCAGGCATTAAAGAAGAACACTGAGATCTAGCAAAATGAGAATAGCTGGAGAATGAGAACCTGTCTTTAGAAGAAGGTTATGTCTCATTGCTGGGTTGCTGAAAATTTCAAACAGGAAAAAAAGAACACCTAAAGCATAGAATTTTATTCTGTATTCACTGAAGCCAATGAATTATTTTGATGTTGCGGGATTACAGTGATAGAAAATAAGGTATTACTCACTGAGGGATTTTATGCTGTGTTATATATCAATGCAGGTCTTTTTTCAATCACAGAATCACGTAATCACAGAATGGCCAAGGTTGGAAGGGATCTCTGGAGATGGCCTAGTCCAACCCCCCTGCTCCAGCAGGGTCCTCTAGAGCACATTGCCCAGGATCATGTCCAGGCGGGTTTTGAGTATCTCCAGGTGGAGATATGAGACTCCACAACCTCTCTGGGCAACCTGTTCCAGGGCTCTGTCACCCTCACAGGAAAGAAATTTTTCTTCATATTCAGACAGAACTTCCTGTGTTTCAGTTCGTGCCCGTTGCCTCTTGTCCTGTCACTGGGCACCACTGAGAAGAGTCTGGCCCCATCCTCTCAACACTCCCCCTTCAGATACTTGTACACACTGATGAGATCCCCTCTCAGTCTTCTCTTCTCCAGGCTGAACAGGCCCAGCTCTCTCAGCCTTTCTTCAGAGGAGAGATGCTCCGGTCCCCTCATCATCTTGGTAGCCCCTCCACTGGACTCTCTCCAGTGGTGCCATGTCTCTCTTGTACTGGGGGGTCCAGAATTGGATATAACAAAAAGAATTTGTGCATATTCATAAAACTAGGTGAAAAGTTCTGCAACTTTGGTTTTCATCAGTTTTTAAAAATTTTCAGAAGGGTACTTTTTATCTTCTGGTTTTCAGATTTATTTATTTTTTCCTAATAGAAGTGATTCTAGGGGAATTGGAAAACACTGAAAATGTTCATTGGCATTTCAACTTTCAGTGAGGAGATGGGAGGAAAGAAGGAAGGGAAACTTGCATGTAAGAAAACAGCTGTAATAAAGAAGCAAAGGGGGGAGTTCCTCCTTTTTTCACAGTATGGAATAGGCAAAGTCTGCCCCACAAGTAATAAATTTTTTTTTGAATGTGAAAGTGGAAATGAGGAAAAAGCTGGAGAATCATAGAAAACAGAATTACATGTCTTCACATCATGATTTACACTGCGTTTAATTCATAAATCCAAGAGCAGCCTATTACTGAAATCACAGGAGAGCGTCTGTTACTAGGAAAGAGGATTTCAGTACATGTGAGAGTCATATAGTAATCTGTTTCTTTTTTTTTTTTTTTAATAAGAAATGTCTAAAATCTAGGTACAACTGGAGGAATAACTCTGGAAAACAAAAAGCTTTCAAAAAGAACAAGAATTCAACTAAACCGTTAGTTCACTTACTAACCTCCTTCAGGCGTTCATATGAGCAACAGAAAAATTTCTAAATATGTATGTAACACACATGCAATAAATATTTCTAGCTGATGCTGTCATGAAACTTCTTTGCAAATTTACTTTTTATTTAATTTGGAAAAAGTAATAATATATAACATAGGTGATCAATCAGTGTAAGTATAAAATTACAAAGAACTAATACTTAAAGTGACTTTGGAGTACAGAAAATGTTTACGGATTTCATTAATTTAGTCACGTATCAACCTGGCAAATTTAGCTGCTTATTAATCTTTTGTTAAATAATTGTGAACAGTGATTACATTTTCAAGAGTTGAAACCTGCTCTAGCTAAACCACAACATTTTTGCAAGTATATTTTTCAACTGAACTTTTTTGTACGTTTCTACAGCCAGACTATGGTACTGGTCAGTAAAATATTTAAAAGTTGTTAGGATTTAGAATGCAATATATTTTAGTAGCTGTCTGCAAGAAGTCATGGTGTGTCCTTCCTCTTCTAAAGAAAGTTAGCAATAGCCCTAATGAACTGATACGTCAAAGGTTTAGATGTTGTTTAGATTACAGAATGGATTCTGGGGAGGGGAGTAATTATAAGTAGAGTTTACCAGAAAAACATGGATGTGTTTGTTTTGTGTATAAGAGTATTCTAGTTAATCAAAACAACGGTAAGAACAGCATTAAGTTAGGCGAAATTCAGCTTGCAAACATTTGAAATATTTCTTTTTCCTGCTTCTTGACCATCTGATTCCTCAGGGATGCATCTGGCAGAAGCAGAAGAAGTGAAAGCAGGAATTCCTAGGAGTACAGACTCCTTGTTCCTTTGTAGTACGGGTTTCCAGGTTCAGGCTTTGGAGTAATTTATCAGGCCAGCTGCATTCATCCTACCTATCCAACAGAATTGTACAGAGGATAATAATTCCACATATTGGAGGACATAAAATGTTGCTTCTTAGCCCAAGTAAACATGAAGTAAAACCTTCAGATGATTCAGAAAATGTAATTATGTTTCTCCACTCCAGCTTTTACATTGAAAAAGTTGTTCCTGCTATTGTAATGCAACAAAATGGATGCAATTCAATTGACGAATGTAACCTAGAGGATTGTGTGCAAAGAAATCAAAACTCAGAATGAATTTTCTTCTCTACGGAAAACATTTTCATGTATGCTTTGTTTTATTACCTACTGGGAAGAAAAGAAAGATTCAAAATTAAATTTATAAATATAGAAGCAGCCTATGACAGCTGCTGCTTATGTATGGGTGTATCCTATGTTCTTACTCTGTTTTTTAAAGTAATCTTGAGAAGGCAGCTCTTTGAAATATATACAGTACAAAAAGCAGCAAGAGAAATTTCCCCACCTGTAGAAGAGGGATGTAACTTGTGTGAACATAACTGTTGCTGTCTGGTTTATGGTGAGTCAAATCACTCCTATGGCTTAGCCAGCTTTTTCACGTACGAAATGTTGGTCTGATGATCAGCAGCATCAAAGCTGGATTTGTTACATATAGAACATTTAGTGAAGACAACGTTCTCCTAATAAAACTTAAATATTTGTACGCTAAGAAAACTACATAAAGATATACAGTTGGATCAGTATTAAAAGCATAGTGAATTTGATTCTGATAAAGAATATAAAATACAATCTAGCAAGACAAATATATGCTTACGTGCTTGTACGATCCAGTGATTTGAGTTCCCTAAGTTTTTGGATACATAGTTTAAACAGATCTTCTTTGTTAAGCATATGAAGATAACCAGAACCAGTAATTACTCATGAAACTGTGACTTTAGATAGGTAAGCATCAACTTTTTTGAGAACAGTTAACCATTAGAACTGGGACTATATTTTCAAAACAGTCAGCTTTTAGGTACCTAAACTAGGAAGCCAGATTTTTTCAGAATTTCTTAGTTGTTACTTTTTGAAGGCTCTTATGAGTGACAGCAGCAAATGCTGAATAGCAGTCCATCTTCTTTCTACTTCCATTTCGCTTTTCTGTGAAAGTTTTAAATTGTAGGGTTTTACAAAATATTTTCATCTTTTCCTTATTCACTATAAAGACAAGAAAATCATAAAGATCTTCAGGACTTTTGAATTCCAGTAATCCTCTGAGGCCAACCTCTTTCTCGTTCCTTCGCCTCTCCCTTCAACTCCCACAAAAAAGAAAAAAAAGAAAAACAACCAGCAACTTAAAACAAAAACATTACAGGCAAATGGAAAAGATAAGATGCTACTTTGGCAGGATTTTGAGTGTTCTTAATGGTAGAAGACCTTGTCCTAAAACATTAGCATTGTGTTATTTCATCAATAAAAGGTCCACTCTTCTGACACGCAGGGGGTGGGACTGAGCCAGTTGAAGTAGGACATCACGTGCCATTTTAGGTATTCTGTAGTATTCAGGATATCCACACAGGGCTAGCAGCTTGGAGACATGCGCTGCTTGGGGAGGCAGCTGGAGGCCAGGCTACCAAACGGTGTGTAAAATGGCAAGAGATGCCCAAACTTAGACAACTGTATCCTACCCATCAGTCCTCCTTCTGTCTCCAGAGTAAAAGTGAAAGCAGTCACCATCTCACTAAAAAAAGCCTGTTACTTTTCCTCTCAGGTAACTGAGCTCATATAAAATAAATCTCTACTTACTTCTTTTCCTTTTATTTATTGTTAAATACAAATAAACTGCTATTTATTGTTTTTTCTTATAAGAGAAAAAGAAAAAAGAAATTAAAACTTTGACTTAACGTTGCTCAAATTCCAAGATAGTGGAAGGGTAAAACCATAACTTAAGTGTATCAAAATATATTGTATTTTATATTTTTGTTTTCCCCATTAAAAGTTCACTTGTTCATAAACTATGTGAATAGGTAAATATGCATAATAAAAATATATACGACATGCAGTTTAGCTTACCACAGCGGTGTTATTTCCTTGAGTCAGAGCACTTAAGATCATTTGTAATAAAGTGTACTATTTTAATATGTAATTAAAGTGTGCATATATTGTGAAATATTTGCCCAGCACCTATATTGTTTTGAAGGGTGAACACAGAATACTTTAGCTCCTCTTTTTTTAGCTGCTTCCTAATGGTCAGTTCTAGAACTTTATTCATTTACGGTTTGGTACTGGCTGCCAGTTCTCTGTATGTATAATTTGTACATACTGTTCATTTTATTTTAGAACATACTGTTTCAACAACATGGCTTGTGTCATCATGAGAACAACTGCAAAAGGTTATCCAGATCGTATGATAGCCAGCCAAAGAAATGATGCTGTGAAACCGTATTGTATTGAGAATAACTTCTAAATACCTTCTAAGAGAAGGTTAGATACTTCAGTTCTTACTCAATTTGTCCTTCCTGACGTGAGGAACATTTTCATCTAGGAAAAGAGGAGAGAAAAGCAGGAAAATACGAAGTCTGAAAGAACTGCATATTTAGAAATATTTCAGCTACGTGTATATATCTTTTTCATATTTTCTCCTTGCAATATTACTGACCCACAAGTAATAACAGTATTCTCACACTGACTGTTATACCTGCTCTACTGATACTTCCTGCTGTCAGCAGGCTATTCATTTTCTGGACATGCCTTCAGACTACCAGTAATGTGACTCATCAGAGTAACATTCTTGGAAGTATATTTTTCATGTCTTTTTGTGTGAGTGGGATGAAATTGCAGAAAATTCACAAGTACAGGATGTGTTTTTCTGGCTAAAGACAGTAGTATTTTATTCTGGTAAAATAATGATTAGCATAACCTAGTCATATAAACTTAGCATACACCACTTTTGAGTCTTCCATGACAGGTGTTACAGGGGCTCTACGTATTCTTTATTTCCTGCCACAAAATATAAGACCTGAAGTGTTAGTTCCTGTTTATGGTCGAGAAATGCACACGCATATATAGGAAGGTAAGCTTAACCCTAGTTCATTCCTCAGAGCAGACACAGTATGCTAGAGGCATGGACAAAACTAACCAGATGCTGCAAGCATATGATTCTTCCATGAGAGTTTATATGGTACAGCTGTCTTTAAATGTTTTTATAATTGAAAAGGCTCTAGCATCTGGTCCTTTGCTTATTACTCTTAGATCAAATAGTCATGATCTCATGTCTACTTTTTTAATAATGCAGAAAAAGAAGAGCTTGAGGCATGGAGACCATGCTTTGAAATGGTCTGCTTCAGAGTATTTGTAAAAATAAAAGTAAACTGCGTAAATAAAAAAAGCAAAAAACTGCAGTACAGAACAGTATGAATTATGCAAACATACAAACAGCTTTATCAATTTAAATATATGTAGATAAATTAACTTTTTGATACAAGGGGTATGTACTTTTGATATCTTCCATTTATATGAGGTTTACATTGCTTTCCCCTTTATGTTACTATGCAATGATCTATTTAAACTCCACCTCCAACAATTGCCATCCTCCTGCTATTACGAACCAAACAGGATATAGACTATGGTATGCCCTATAGAAATCATCACTCCGCACCAGTTTTTCCTCTGGTAACACTAGTATAGTTTCAACTGATTTCAGTTAATCCTGATATTACCACTGAAAAAAAAGGTAGGCTTTTCCACACTCACCTACTCCAGTTTTATGGATGAACACTATTACAGAAGAGCAAAGTGGTAATATTGTTTTTTTTTAGGCAAACCCCCTTTGAAGTCCATTATTAATAAGTAAGAATGAGAGTCATTTTTTTAATTATTGTTTTGTATGCCTACATAAAGTCCGCAATATTGAGTGATTTAATCCTCTGTGAAGGGACCTTCCAAGCAGTGGGTAATCAGACATATTACATGAATCGAACTAGGCTGAGTCAAGGATAGAATTTCATTATTTGTCTGTGTAAGGCTGACAAACTATTTTAGAACAAGATTTAGTGTATAAATGTATTTCTGTAAAGTTAGCTAGCTTCCCAAACATGTCCCAAGCTTTTCATATCATGATTGGATGCTATAAGGCAAGGCCTTAATTATTCTGATTGAAAAAAGTAGTTTCAGAGCTGTTATTTTCTTGAGAGGCTGAAATAGCCTAAAAAGAAAATCAAAAATAAGAGTGGCTGTAGTTCATCCAAACTCTTCAAAGAGCACTTTATGTGATTTAAATCTAGGCTAGTGTTAGCTAAAAAATGTTTGGGAGTCATGTAATAATGTGTTTATTTTCTTAATAAGAGAGATCTTGCTACTACATGGCATGGATCTACGTGTTTTATTTTAGCAAGATGAAGACAGTAGTTTCGGTAGAGGAACTAGGACTTCATTCGTTATTTTAAAATGCATTAATTTAATCACACAAGTGAACAAACACAAAGTTGTGGGTAAATCAACAATTTATTTAACTATTTTTGAAACAGTCAGGTAGACTAATTTTGACCTTCAAGAATGTAAGAATTACATTTTGATTTTGATAGAATTCCTAGTAGAGCTAAAACATGTCTTTCTATCTGGAGGCTTCTGGTTAGAAATTGTAAAGAGAGAGAGAGAGAGAGAGTGTGTGTGTGTGTGTGTGTGTGTGTGTGTGTATTATTACGTTTTTTGACGTATACAACAAAGAAATGGTTCACTGATATTAGCAAATGTGAGTTTATGCCGCAGAAAGTAGAGTACCAACAGGTGTTCAGGAAATGCTTGCAATTCTGGCAATCAGTTCTAAAGTAACCTCTATAAATGTATATTTCTTCCAAGATCAACCGAAAAGTAAGTTACTTTTTGCCATCATAATTAGCCTTCCATTTACAGGTCATCTTATAGTGAAGAAATCCCCTTACGGAAAAAATGAAAAGATGTCTCCTTTTGTACTGTCAATAATGAAAGAAAGTTTTTGCATCACCTATGGATGGTAGCTAGGAAGGTGTATTGATAGATGCACACTTTTTATGCTTGGAAAGTCAGTGTTTAGCTTTGGTTGAAGACTCTGCCTGGGAAGTACAATAAATACACATCAGTACTTCGATAGTACTTGATAGATCGATTTCACTGTGCGCTAGAGTTTTTCCTATTTATTTGTTAAATTGTTTCAATTCTCGTTTCATAGCTTAAGTAATATGAGCAAGTATCATAATTCAGTATGATATGAGTATCATACTGTATGTTTAGTATGTCAGGTGACTGTATCATATAAAAACTTGCTTCCTCAGCCAAGGATATCTGTATTGTACAGAAATCTTTTTAACGAATACTTCACATTTCTGTTGCTTTCTCAAGATTATTCTTTTTGTAGGTCTCTTGTCTATGCAATATGTTCCCTAAGGTTAAGAATGAAAGAGGTCTATGCTACAGACGTACTTGATTGAAATAGCAGCTAAATTGCTGCAGTAATGAGAAAATATCTTTCCCCCTGGATAATTCAGCTGCTTAGCACTGAAATATTTTTGAGATAAAGATTTTTAGAGAACCAAAAAACTACAGATCATTTCTTTACAGTCAGAATTTGCTAACAAGGCTTCTATGGAAACAAAGAGCAAAACTCTTGTTATATTAATGGAAGGCAGATCAGTCCATAAAATGAGACTTATGCTCTTAAATAAAGAGAGACTGTGTTTTATAGATATTCTGATGTGCAGTTGCTTTAGAAAACGCTGCTGCTTTTCTGGAAAAATGTGGTTAAAAACACATGATGATGAAGTTAACCTAAATCTTTCATTGGCTTACAAAAATAGGTCAAGTAATACATTGCTAGCTCTGCTGTAAGCCTGTACACAATCCGTACGTTCCAAAGTACAAGAGATTTTGCTTAACAGTCCTACCTCTGCTTTCATTCATGATACCTGTGGGTTAAAATATTTAGCTTTCCGCAAGTGTGACTCCCTTTTGTTTTCTTCAAAGTTGAAATTTATCTCCTCTGTAGTTATGTTAGTCTTTTACTAAAAAGATGTTTGAATATATCATTTGTAATTATCCTGGGTTTTCGAACCGAGATATTAGCATGTTAATGCAGATATTATTGCACAGTTTATAAGCTATTTATAAAGGAATTTTTCTCCTCTGTCAACGTTTAAATTCCAGAAAAAAGTATCATTAAGTGTTCTGTAAAGCATTTGTCAAATGATTTGCAAGGTGTGGGGTTTCTTTAAACACGGACACTGCATATGCGTGTGCACAGAATGTGACTAAGGTCACACGCTTTTTGTGGCTTGGCACATTCAGACAAAGTCGGTGCAGATCTGGACTCTTCAGCTCTGTTCTTTAATGGGAATGAAGTATAAAGAAAGTCTAGGCATAAAATGCAATTTATCAGAACAGAGGTTGTCTTTATATTTGGTGTGGATACCACCTACCAAAATGGAGGAGTGATGCTTCTCGGAGGCTCTGTCCGAGGCTGAACTTCCCCGCAAACTCTTTGTATTTACTGGTGGCAAATTACAAATTACGTGGGGCAAATAACATCGCTTTGATGTGACACTTTGGCCCCGCTTCTCGAAATTCTTCCATGTGGGCAGCCGTTTACTTCTGTCCGACGCCCCTCTGCAGCCAGAGGGGTGTCACACCTGACCACGGAGGGGGAAGGGAGCGGCAGGGCGCCCTGACTGAACTTAAGCGGAAACCTCCCCTCCACCTGGCCTGCGGTGGGCGTCGCTACTATCTTCACGACGCCAGGAAGGGCAGGTGCAGGGCGAAGGCTCAGGAAACCTGTTTCGAGCTGTGAAGGCAGGAAGCGGAAGCCTCCCCTCCACCTGGCCTGCGGTGGGCGTCGCTACTATCTTCACGACGCCAGGAAGGGCAGGTGCAGGGCGAAGGCTCAGGAAACCTGTTTCGAGCTGTGAAGGCAGGGCCGGCTCAGTCAGCGGGAGAGGAGAGGGGAGGGGAGCGGAGGGGAGGGGAGGGGAGGGGAGGGGAGGGGAGGCCCACTCCTCCTCCTCCTCCTCCTCCTCTCCCTCCCCCGCCGCCGCCCC